AGAGAGAGAGAGAGAGAGACCTGTGCTCAAGAGGAGTGACGACGGAGGCGACAAGATCGGCAAGTTGCGTGGTGGTTCGGATGGGTCCTAGGGTGCCACGGTACTCCACTACAGCGTTGGCAATGCGTCGGGCGAACCTCTCCTCACCGTAGACTCTGAAGATACGCGCCAGGTGTGAAACACTCAGCCCATTCAACACGTCTGCCGCTGACGGATCCTCTACCGGCACCCCACCTTCCACCTTTTCACTTCTGGAAAATCAATCAACCAACCAATGCGAAGCGCAGCTTAAGAGCACACCGATCTGATAAATTAAGTTGATGTAATGTGATATCAGTGAGCGATATGCAATGCTAAGCCAGAGGATGAGAGTGATTTGGTGCAGTTCTCAAACCAAGAGCATTTGGAAATTGAGCATTGGAGGTTTGGTGGAATTACAATAGCCGCTTATGGACTTTACACCCCCCTCTTCAGTCTTCTTTCCCTGGATGTTGATGTTGAGACAGTTGTGTGTGGAGCCAGCACAACAGATGAATACTGAGACAGCTACCGACTTACTCAAATGTACTTGAGGTGGTCATGCGCATGTCAAGAGGTGCGTTCCTACTTATCCCGAAGCCGCGGGTGGGGGAATCCATTTGCATAGAACTGGGGCCGACATCCATCATCACGCCGTCCACGGTGCCGAGCGGACAACCCATCCTACTGAGAAGGCCAAGAGCCTGACTGAAACGACCCTGTATTGGCACCACCCGTCTAAAGAAGAAAGCGCATTTTATCAACTGTGTTGCTAGGTTTGTTTATTCCACTTCATTCCGACATGGAGAAAGACATCTTTGAACCAAGCAGTTTTCCCACTTCATTTACTCATACCAACTTCCATTGGATCCATAAAGTCCAAAAAACAACAACAACTTAAATCCTCTTCCAAAAGTGATGGCAAAACCCGTCAATTTGTTGGCAGTTGCGTGATCAAAGCGTCGCACCTTCATTCCAAAGGCGATCCACCCGTGCACAAACATGTGAGGTGTCTCCTTTTACTTCTACTTGCATCGTGTAATGATGTTGGAGTAGCCCTTTTCCTTCATCTAATCACGACTGCAACTGAATAATCGACCCTTGAGAGAGTAAATTAAGGGCATGGACACTTTTTCAGTGGGGGTTGGTTTATTCGGGCCATAGAAACGTGCGTAGGCACAGCACGGGTACACGTCTCCGAGTGGGTGTTTCGTTTGTTTGTAATTAAGCATATAAGTAAGAAAACAAAAAAGGCGGATCTGACTGCTGAAATATTGGCACCAAGGTGCATAGCCTAATTACCAGCTAAGGGGAAAGGAGGTGGGCACACGAGTTAAGTCATTACTTGTTCTTACAAGAAATGCCAAGTTTGCGGTAGATTGTAGGACTTGACTTTTATTTGAGAAAAGCACAATTTTGCTTTCATCATGATCATCTATGTTTTCCGCTACTAAGCTCCACATCGGTGCCTCTAAAATGCAAAGCTTAAAAATGCTAAAGTGTAGCCAACTTTATTAACTGACCCCGCAATTGACGATATTTTGCATTGTTGGGGCAATATTAAATGAGCAACAAGCCATTCCGCTATAACCAACAGCAGGGAAGAGTGGACAGAAGTTGATTACATTTACTTCTACCATTGTTTGCACAAATCATAGTAGGGGTGATCCATACCCACTGGTTAATGCGGAGAGTTCTTGAGCATAGCGCACTGCGAGAGGATCGCGGTCAAGACAGAAGACGGTAATTTCGGGGCATGCAGATAGGAGAGCTCGAGTGTGGCCCCCTGCACCGAAGGTGAAGTCTACAAATCTCTGCAAATAAAATACCAAAACCTCGACCACTCAGACAAAGAACTGTTTACCGTGGCGCTTACGATTTCATGCAATCACTAAACTCTTCACTACTAGTTGTTCGCTGTGATACGACAGCACTCTGCTCAATGCTAACTTCACCGGTGAATACTCCCGGCCATTCGCTGTTCTGCCAAAATGCGGTCTAATCTTCACCGCTAACGCGCCCGACTACGGTGTTGCCTAGCAGCTCCTGACCGGGTGGAGGCACGATAGAGACGCAGAATTCGAAACAGTTAGAGTCGGAAATCCCCTAATGCAAGCCTGCGGACTACGCAATTCGAAACCACAAAGCCATGAGTGCGGCTCTCCATTACATCATCATCAAATTTGATACAGCTTTGGAAGTTAAGGTTGAATATGCAAGTGGGTACGCCACGTCTCAGAGCACTAAGAATGCGACAAATGTGCAAATTTTGACGTTTATTCAACCGCTCCACTGAAATACTCCCTAGTTGAAAGCGGTGCCCAGAATACCAGTTTGGTGAAGTTGGTGCCAAGAGCAGGTTAAAACTGGCACACTGAGCCAGAAGTATCGGAGACCTGAAATCAACAATCGAAACCACACTTGCATTTTTAGTTGTGTACAGCCCACCTTTGTCCACCCAGTAACAATTTGTCTACATTTCGAAGGAATAACCAACTTGGTAATGTCACAAGTTCACACACGAATCTCGAGACCGCAAACAGCAACGATTTGTGACCTCTGTGGGGACTACGAAGCATTGCTACCCATGCACCACCTCCCATCGGACCACAGTACTCCACTTGCAGTTGAGTCTAATTAAACTGGTCTCATGGCAAAGTGAAGGCTCTCCGACAAAAGCTTTGTAAAACACACAGAAGTAGAAAATAGAGTCTGGAGGATAAGACTCGAAAGGACCATAGCTGAACCACCTTGGACTTAATCTACTCGAAAATACCAACACATCGGAGTCGGAAACACTCACACCTCTTTCATCAAGCAACACGCCACACAGCCTGAGTAAATCGAGATCAACATACCAGAAGTAACCTCGGCATTGCTTCCTTTCGATGGTAATGCTACCTGTCAGCATCCAAATCAACTGAGGATTGTCCTGATGGACGAACCCCCAAATTATAAAAAGTTTTCCGGAAGAAGGGTGACGAGCTCGTACGTCACTGCTGAGTGGAGGAACAGCTTCCCTGTTGCAAACCTTTGACACCCAGACCATAAAGCACCCATCGTTAAGCTAATGCTTATTTTGTGCATGCCCTCGTGGAATGGTCTGAAGACGCGACTGTCCCCTCACTGGAGACCCAACAACTACACACGAGCTCCGCCTTCTATAACTTGAGGGTTGGATAAAAACCTCCTGGTGGAGAACGCAGTCCAGCTATGCGTCCTCCTCTTATTCCTCCCATCTTGCACTCCAAACAACGTCACGAGGACACCTCGGAGAACCCGTCAACACGAAAGATGCCATTTGATTAGTCGTGGTGGCCAACTCATTCGCACTGGTAGACAACGTGATACAATACGCACAGTTGTTGAATTAAATTTACTTAGCAATGCAGACGCCTACAAACAACTATTTTAAAGAAGAAAGTTGGGGTTCACAATAATCCCGTTTGGTTGCGCTAGCACCACAGACTGGTAATATTCCACCACGTTTCCCAAATTTAAATACAATAACACCTGATACGCAAAGTATACACTAAGAAATAAAGCTACCTGTCCACGACGTGGTCCGAGGTACTTGACTACTTCATTAACAAGAACAGGAACGTGAGGAGGATTTGCCACCGACTCCAATAGACCAGTCGAAATACGCGCAAGTGGGCTGCGGACGAGCATTCGATGAGCCAGTACCTGCAACGCCTGCCAAAATGGACCGACGCTAGGTAAGCAAATTGCATTACTCCTAACCTCAGCTACAAACAAGAACCAAGCACTCGAACGGAGGAAGCCTATCTATTGTTTGACGACCCAAAACGACGTAGGAACAGCAAACTTCTCCCCGATAAAGATCTAACATACACGTCTCAAGCCTTTCAAGAGCTAATAGTAAGCCTAAAACACTAGGTTGATTGTGAGAGTGACACCAACCCAAACAAGCACGAAGGCCAGTACAGAACCCGCAAACATGCGACCAAAACCATGTACACCAAATTCACACTTTATTAAACTATTCTTCAGAAGCGGCCTTTGATTCACGAAGGGACCGACTTCGGGAACGTCTCCTCTCATCCCGAGCCTGCTTACGGCGAACGGCGATCATCTTTGCGTATTCTGTTTCCAGCTCCTTACGAATGGCAACGCGTTTCTTTTTCAGAGCCCTATGTCTGCGTTTTCTCTGAAGACGTATGGGGGTTGTGAGACGTTGAATTTTCGGCGCCTTACTGCGCGGCTTCTTGTCTTAACGAGAGAGCGTTATAAGACGTCATACTTAAAACAAGAAACGAAAAACCCACACTAAATATCTGCTTTACCTCCTTTCGATGGGAGAGGTTTGCGAACGACAAACTGCCGAACATCATCCATCTTCTCGAGGTTGAAAAGCCTTCGAATCTTGGAAGCACGCTTGGGACCGAGACGCCTTGGCACACTCATATCAGTGAGACCGGGAATATCACCCTCACCCTTTCTAACGACTATAAGGTTCAAGGCGCTCAGATTGCTGTCCACAATGCATCCTCGAACACTCTTACGCTTCCTAGTTCCCTTACGACGGGGATTGTAGCATTTGCCTTTAGACAACAACAGCCTCACTCTCCCATTTGTAAG